TGTCTTCAGCCTCTCCCAATATACCTAATTTCAGAGTTTACAGGACAGTTACTCTATTGCTTTCATGTTTCTTTCACTGTTTCGCTGTTTCCCAGGCACATACTGAGAAGCTCTCGTGTAGTACCCTATTAGTGATTTCAGTGAGACTACTCAGCTCTTTCTTTGCCTATCCAAGGCATAAGGTAAACCAGACTGAACTCTGCGTTTGGTGCATCCTCCTCTTCTTTTCCTTCTACTATTCATCCTCGAGAACATTTTTTATGGAAAGGGTCAAAATGCCTCCCAAAAGAGCTCCCCACCTTGGCTCAGTGCCGTGGTCATTAGGAGAAGGTTGTCACATATTCCTTGCCGAGCCTCTGCCACACATTGAGTCCAGTTACTTCTCCTCAGCTCCTATTGGGAATGGCACCAAATTGCTTCCTGCAACTTAGCATCCTAACAGTGCTATCAAGCTGGCACCTTCATAGTGTTCAAACTAGTCAGTGCTAGAGTAACAGAAATATGTGAGCATACCATCAGAACATTATGGATTTATTTTTTTTTTAAGTATCAAATGTCCACATCTTAATCCCAGTCTCTTGTAGGCACTTCAAGTAGGTGGAAAGGAAGAATGTTTGTAAATGGATGAGATAAAACAGTGGGAAGAGGTTTTCACAGAAGAGGCAATTCACAGTTAATCCCAGGATCTGCTGCATGGCAGTGTCTCTGAATGCCCTCTCGTTTACTGAAGAAGAGCAATCGACTCTTGGACATTACCATTTATGCAGTTTCTGAGTAGTACTATTTATAATACGTTTTAAACATTTTTTCCAAATCTGCTCACTTCACAGGAAGATGAGGGACAAACTGGCAATGGAAAGGCGCAATTGTAAACTAGTTAATAGGCCTGACTGTCATTTTTATTCAGCCTATATGTGCAAAGCTGTTTTAAAGTAGCTTTAAGGAAAATGGGAATCAAGCCTCTTGAACCGTTGCCTTACACAGAGCTAGCACAAAGCTTGTATTCGCCTTTTCAGTTCATGGAATATGAATTGGAGAATATTAAAATTTTAAACAGTAATTCTGAATCTGCTCCGCTTAACACTGGGAAAATCTACGATTCCAGTGATAGAGAGTAAAAGTACAAAACTTGTTTACCCATGTCAGGTACTGCAGGTTTTACCATCAGTTCCTGACTTACCAGCAGCTCTCTACATCAGTTGGACTTTCTTTTATTTTCCTAGCCTGAAGCTTCCTAATTTGCAAGATATAGCCTGATATATAGAAAGCAACCTCTTCTTTGGGAGATCAAAATTCCCTGTGCCCAGCAGAGTAGGAGCATATATATTCTTTCTTTCCTAACCCAGGACTCCTAGAATTTCACTTTCTGGTCTCACATAAGAAGCATTAAAACTAGAAAAGGATGCAAGTCAAAAGATTTGAGGCTCTGAGAGGTTGCACTGAAGTCTGGGTGTTTGTTGTGTATTTGGTTTTGTGCTGTTTTGGTGAGGGTTTTTTTTTGGCTCTTTTTGAACCTTATCCAAAGTACTTGAATGTGGTGGAATTAGAGACAATATCGAATTGCTGGTGTACCATTTGTTATCTTTTTCTCCCTATGACAGCCTCCTGTTTGGTAATTGCTCTTGTTTGAGTAGATTTGGTTGAGTGCAGCTTTTGTCTGGTGATTTCACATCTTGCTCAGAATGAGGCCCCAAAGAGACAGTTGAGGAAGAAGAAATTAAGAGGAGAAATTTCTAGGGGCAGAGAAATTGAGCTAAAACTCTATTCTCACACTCAGACCTTTCACAGATGCTTTTTAATGTCTGCACAGGTATCCAGAAGAACAAAATATCTATCAGAGGGTTACTTTTGCCAGCATTTCTCAATAAAACACCAGAAGCTTTGGATATGCAAGAAACACTGGATATTTTTTCCACTTTTTTAACACATTACAGTATTGGCAGAAATGAACAGATTACTGTTGGTTTCAACATAGTTTAGGTGGCAGAAATAAGGTGGCAGAAAAAACTTTAAGGTAAACCAAGGAATTTCATTAAGAAACAACAACTGACACACTTCAAAGACATTTGCCTTTCCAAATGTCTGCTTTGATTTCTGTCAGATGCAGAGGCAACAATATATGACATGACATTCATAATTTAACTCCCAACATAAAAAGATGTGATGATTTTTCTCTAATTGATGGGATAGGAAAGCAAACTTTTTTTTTTTAATGAGCTTGAGAAACAATTTTAAATGGCTGTCAAATATCCAGCAGTGGTTAGGAGACAACTGGATGGAACATTTTCAAATTCAGGTTTTGCCAGTTCCCAATGTTTTTCTTTTGAAAGCATTTTACTTACTGACACTTCAGATGTTACTTATAGGCATATTTTTTCCCTGGTTTTAAGATATCTCCTGTTCAAATTTGCCTGCTGACTTCACTATGTCGTTCTAACAGCTTTCTTTGGGACTAGCAGCTCTTCTGCAGTGTATTCCAATTGAGAGGTTTCAAAGTAGTTTTATTTTATTTTTGATCTTCCCGTGACTAGCAAGTATTATGCTGGGCTTTTTTTCTAGTTGGCTGCTCTAGTGTTTCTTTTTCTGTATTCTCCACTGAGTCCCAGCACATTTTTATTTTACAATTGGATATTGTTTTGTGTACTCTTCTTTGTATATTATTTTTCTTCGCCTCTGCTTCTACAATTAGCATGATTCTGCCATTTTATTTTCAAAATCCAGCTAGAATAACTCAGGACAAAATGTGTGGAGCAGAGTGTCTTGTGAGTATGAATTGCTCACAGCAGAAATGCAAGGTCTGTGCTCTAGCTGAGAGTTCACGAGAGAAAGCATGACTGGTCCTACTCCACCCTGAGTACCTCAATGTGGCTTTGATTACTGCAGCACGTTATTTCCATGTACCAAAACCTTCCCTTTCAGGTTTTACACAGGCTATGTGCAGCATTTCCAACTGTACAAAAAGAGAAACTGAAAAGCCAGTAGAAATATTCACTGGTATAGGTGAGTTTAAGATCAGGCTGTGAAAATAACTATGCAGGTTAATAATGATCCTACATCCCTCTTTCTTTATCTGTATCAGTGGTTCAAGGATATAAACATAACCCAGGCCTGTCTTCTGGGTTTGATCCTGACACAGGATTTTCTCTGTTTCCCTGTTAGCGGTCTGGTAGCTGAGAGGTGTGACTGCCTCTGTTTCTGTCTCAGTGCAGAACATCTGCAGCAAGAAGCGCATTGGAAGTTTTGGTGGAAGAGGAAGAAAACACTTTGGAAAATCAAATGTTCAAAGGAGCCATAGCTTATGCTTTGCGCAGAGTGACTCAGCTCTCCGGGCATGGATTTGCCAACATAAATGTCATGTAAAAACTTCCATCAACTTTAGTGAACTTTTTGCTATGGAAAGGGATAAATAAAGCCAGTAAATTTGATTTATTATCTGTGCTATGCCACTATGTAAGTATAAGCAAGAAACTTGCAAGTTTCCTGACATCCAGTCAGGAAAGGTCCCTATCCCAAAGAGCTTTGTGTCTACATGGGAGAGGAGGCAGGAGGAGAACCAGAGAAGCCAGGGGTAACGTGAGCAACAGAAAGATCATTCCTATGTCCTCAGTTCAAGGCTGTCTGTCTCTAACACCCTTGCAGAGCTGGTGTCCTCTCATAAGTTACATACCCTTCACACACCAAAACGCAACTCTGCTTTCTGGTACTTGACAATGTGATGGAGCATAGTGTCCGGCCTATGTGAATAGAAGAAGAAATTAATCTGAAAAGTTTGCAGATTCTACAAACCATTTTGGAAAATTTTTAATTTTATCTCATATATGAACTAACTTTGTGGTCTCTGACCTGCAATTGTTTGCTATCAGTATTTTCTTAGAAAACTTTTAAACAGACATAAGATTGAATGATCAGTAAACAGTAAATAACAGTGACATTTTTTTCGGCAGTTGAGTCTGGAAACCTGGCTCTAAAACCCATGATAATGCAGTTGGAGACCAAAAACATACCACAGGTGTGCATGCAAAACTACTGTAACTTAAGGTTTGATATTAGAAGTATTCATTAAACAGTACAGAAAAAACCTCCATCTCAGTAAATTTCAAGATTCTTAAAAGATAGTTTAGAAAACAGAAAGAAGGGGTGTCAAGAATATTTAGGTTTTTATTGCCTGCTCTTGACGCACGTCTGGAGTCTTGTTTCGACACGCACGCCTTTCTTCTCTAAACTGAAATATTCGCCGCCTTTGTACAACACAATAAACAAGACTATTTTCATCCACCTAACTGCCAGATATGACACCCTGTGAGTAACAGATCTGCATGTCATCAAATGCTGCACTGAGTGGTTTTCCTTTAAAGACATCATCTTCAATTTATCTCAAAGTCCAGCTTAGCTCTGAGTATCTTTTATGCCAGTAGCACCAAATTGTATCAACATTATAGGATTATGAAGTGGGATCACTTACCCTGTCAACTCTGGCTTCACATTGATACTTCCAGCAGAGCAGGTGCTATATTTTATTAGTTACAGAGATTCATTGTGCCTCCAGAAACTGCCCTCTGCACCCTGCTTTTATAATAGGATTCAATACAGCTGAGCAAATACAACCTCTGTAATATATATGAAATACAGGAAGATAATACGAGCAGGATAAACTCTCTGATTAGGTATACTGTGCACAGTGATTCAGAAATACAGAGACAGTTTGCAAGATGGGGAAAAAGGAGGAGGGCAAATGTGTTCAAGGTTTGCCATGAAGGCCTAGGAAACGCTGCTTAAAGGATTTCTGTCCTAACCAGCTCTGTAATTCTCGCCAAAGGCCTGAATGCAGTTACAACTTCAGTATATTTCCATGCTTGACTTCACTCAAGTTCTTAACATTGCAGTCAAATAGGGAAAAAAACCCCAAACAAATCCAACATACTAGTTGTTAGTAACCTCTGAATAACGAACTGACAGCAATTCCCCAGCCCAAACAGCTTAATCCATTTGTTTCTACTTACCTCCATGTGTCTCTTGGATATTTAAAGCAAAGGCTCATTTTGTCCTGCAGATTCTGTGCTGCTGCTCAGTATTATCTTGCCTGATCATAAAAAGGCTCCTGACCAAAAGGAAGAGGAAAGCAATACGTAAAACAAACACAGAAGCCCAAGAGGAAAGCTACACCC